AACATTTTCACTTTTCACACGTCATAACTAAAAACCTTTGTGAAATTTATGGAGATTTTATGTATTAGACTAGTACAAAGTGGCATTATGAAGTGGAAGGAAAATACCTGTTTGCAAATAAAAATCTGAAAAATATGGTGTATATGTGTTCAGTTCCCCATGCATACCATCTTTCGCTATAATTATGGATGCAAGTCTTTTGAGGTCTCCATGCCACAGACTGGCTTATGGCCAGTGGCAGAGAGGAAAAAAACTATTTCATTGTAAATAATTCATGGATTTATCTTTAAAATAGTCGGGTCGGCAAGAAAATGTGTAAGAACCAGCAGGGCTGTGCAGAGACCACTAAAGGGGCAGGTGCTCAAAAAAAAAAAAAACAGGGGCACATCTAACCGCATTTTACGACAGAATATTAAAGTCACACAGCTTTCAGAGTTTAAACAATGATAAATTACAAATTGTGAGATATACAACTAGATTTACTACATATTAACATGTAATATTAAATATATTGTTCACTACCAAAAGCTGCATGTTGATCATGGTAAGAACCTTTATTTTCTTTATGTTCTTACCTGCGGTACTCGTTCTGACCCAGTTGGTCAACAATCCACTACCTTTGGCTGCTTCTTTTTTGTTTCTGACATCTTTCTTTACGTGGCATCTTTGAACTGAAAAAGCAAAACATAATGAATTATGATCAGAATACTATAATAAACCACACTACAAATTATTTACCCTTGTGTTTAAACCAATATGTTTTTCAGTCCATAGCACAACATAACATTACTTAAAGTCTGGATTGAGTTTTTTCCCCTTCATTAATGACATATTTTTATTAGAGAGGAGCAGCTTGATTGATTATTACATACATTATATCCATCATGGTAGTTCAGGGTGAGTTATTTTTAATTCTAAATGAATATCCTTGTTGGACTTTTATTTAAGTGCTATTTTCCTTCAAGATACATTTACATATAAATGCAATGTACATTATGCAGCAAAGGAAATTAGAAGATCGGACATATATACATTATGGAGATGATCGGTTTTGGACGGGCGATGTGCCCATATTGCATAAACAATACTGAAGAATGACTGATATCATTAACGATACAGGGAAGAAACTTTTCAGTCATCTTGCTTTGCTAGCAAAGTTGTTAGCTAGCAGCTAGCTAATAGCACAACAACAGCCTAATGTCTGTATGATAAAAATACTGAATCGATAGATAAGAACAGTTTTTCCTCACCTGGCTGTCTCCTCCCACTCAGTAGTTCTTCAGAGAAAGGCAGACGCAGAGGCCTGTCAGTGTCTGTTGTATTTCATTACCTCTCTCTGGTTAAACCGCGACTCCGTGCTGAAGCAGAAACGATACTTCAACGTTTTCCGTCATCTGAAAAGTAGCAAGTCTACTCCACTTTATTCACCAAAAACTTTTTTTTTAGTTCACCAAAAACTGTTCTGTAATCTGGAACGTTTGCTATGCTGAGCTCCAGTTAGCCGCCTTATCTCACTGCGAGAGAGGCAACTGCGTCATGCGTCACGGGCAAAAGGTCAAAGGTAACAAGGTGACCGGAGGGCTTATTATGTTGTACAAAAAAACAAAAAAAAACAAATAATTTTAGTACATGTTATTATGTGTCAGAAGAGGGCTTAGGAAATAATACCATAAAAAAAAAATTGACCAAAAGGGCACTTGGGGGCAAGGAGCAAAAGGGACAGGTGCTCAAGCACCCCTCGTTACCCCCTCTGCACGTGCCTGAGAACCAGCAAAAACAGACCATGATCAGGAGTTGCTGTCGCTGGGAGAGAAAGACTAATTGGAGTAGTCTTAGCAAATTTCTTGTAATCTCCATTTGCATAAGAGCCAGAAGTCTGAGATTAAAGTCAAAATTCTGATTCCCCCCCCCCTCCCCCTAGTGGTCTTAATCCTCCTTCCTTAGAGAATAGTGTATTTGTGTAAACGAGTCCACATTTTGTGCCTTGTTCGAGCAACGAAACCTGTAACTTTCAATCGTCAATAGGGGTCAGTGTTTGCCCTCTTCACCGCAATGGCTTTGTGTTGCCCCGACAACAAGCCACAACAGAAGCCGTTCCATCATGTCTACTTCTGTAACAAAAGAAGGGAAAAAGATGAGATGTGCAGTGATGCTGAAGCCGTAAGTTGACACCTCAGGTCGTAAATTTTGAGTTCGTCAATATATTGTTAAATAAAAGCATTGGTAGTTGTGCTAATTTACCGTTATGGTGTTTCTTAGCTCTAAACGCGGCAGCAACTTGCTCGCCTTGTCCAGCAGACGGAGTTTTACTTTCAGCGGTAACAAAATTCTGGACAGAATGGCGGGTCCTACTCCGAGACGAGCTGTTCGGGTAACTTACACTGTGAATTCGACAAATAATTACAAATTCTTGTTAACCACATGCATACCTGAATAAAGACGCTGGGTGGCACACCATGTACAGACGTTATAGTTCTGACCATTTGCTGCTTCTTCTCCCTATTTACTATTAAATTAAGTGCTTAACAAAACCTAAAAAAAATCAAAGGGGCTTTGTAGCCTAATATTTACTAAATTATGTTATATTAACTCAGTTAAATGTGTTAACAATATTTACTGAATAAGGAAATATTATGCATTTAAAGAAATGTGTTTAGTATTTTTGCTGCTTTTAAATGTTCAGAGGCGTTTAATGCAACAGATATAGCTGACTGTTCTGTGTTCAGGTGTTTGATGAGGAAAACAATGATGTGACCCCTCAGCCATTTTACCGGGCAGATCTCGGAGCAGAGCCAGGCAGCAGGTTCTTGGTGGATGAACTCTCTGCTGGATCAACATCAGAGCAGACAATGTTCACTGGGAGCTTCACTATGCCTTTTTCAAGGTAAGAGAGCTCAGTGCTGTGCAGCAGGAGGTGGGGAGTTGACCTGTTCAGGAGACCTGTTCAAACTATACTATACAGCAGCACTTCTGTTTACAGAGTATTATCATCATTTGTACAGACATTTTTTCAGTTGTATTCCACCTTGTTGCTCATAATAGTTCTCTTCAGTTCCATGTCCAAAGTTGACAATGATGTAATGGCGTGAAGGAAAAATTGTGAGCACACGCCAGCCAAGTTCCAGATGAAAGTGGCCAGAAAGTAAAGATGCAACACATGTAGCATCAAACCCAGACATCAGTGTTTAGTACCGTGGTCCCCCAGAATGCAAGTAGTGATAGCAAAACCTTCAGCTGAACAAAGAGCTCCAAAATTAAAGATTTATATGGTTATCTATTCATTCATAAGGAGGAAGTCAGAAAATCAGTTCCTTAAAGACTTATCAGACCAGCACCCTACCTGGTGATTTAAAAGCACTCCATGGTGAAACTAGACATTAAAATTCTGACCGCCTTTCTGTAGATGCTGTTGTTTCAGCTACGGTTCGTTGTAGCAGAAATTTCCCCAAGTGGAAGCAGCTGAAAGTCTCAGTTCTTTTTGACAAAATCAGTCTGTATTTGTCTTTTGTGATGGGGGAACTTTTCACCAGAGCTGCTGGTCATCTTCTATGCAGCCATTATGCAGTTTGGCATGTGTTTATCTGTCATATTGTGGTTTGACTCAGCCTCAAAATAGGATGGGTTTAAACTGCAATGAACAATTAGGTCTGCAGAGAACATTGTCAGGGCTGATCTTCTCCACGTCCAGGACTTGAACAGGATTGCGAATAATTCCACTTGAGCTGTGGTGTGTGTTCTCCATAGAGAACACACATTGTTGACAAAAAATGTGTAGATCTTTCCCTCCAGGTCTGCACTATAAAGTGCTATTTTCAAAAACTGACATTGTTAAATCATCAAACAGCAGTGGTGGGCACGGCTAGCTAAAACGTTAACTGCATTGACCCTGAAGCACTAATCATAAACATTAGTTCTACTAATGCTAAAGCACTTTAACAACCTATGAGTTAGCGGCAGGTAATGCTAAGGCACCAAATTCAACCATGTTGATACCACCATGTGTCATTAGAAAAATGTGAGAAAGCTCTCAAAACCATTCACATACAGTATTGAGGGTAGGGGTCTTCAAAATAAAACAAAATTCAACAACCTTCCTGTCAATCAGTGTTAGTGTGTTAGTGAGGAAGATGCTTTTTGTTCATGATAACTATGTAGTAAACATCTCCTCTGACACTGTTTTTCAGGTCAGTTTTGGGTAGCAGCAGGATATCCAGCCAGTCAACCATAGAGTCTGTGAACGAGGAAATGGAGGAAACATTTTGTAGACGCGACTTTCCCTTCAACTTACCAGGTTCATCACCACAATATATACAGTAACTTGCAAAAGCGTTCATATCCCTTGAACTCTTCCGTAAGTTGTCATATTACAACCATAAACATAAATATATTTCTTTGGAATTTAATGTGACAGACCAACACAAAGTGGTAAACAGCTGTGAATTAGAAAAAACATTATAGATGATTCAAATGTTTTTTTACGTATAAAAAACTGAAAAGTGTGGTGTGTAGAAGTATTCAGCTCTCTGTACCGTATTGACATAGTTTTGCCCATTCTTCTTTGCAAAACAGCTCAAGTTAAGTCAGATTAGATGGAGAGCATTTGTGAACAGCAGTTTTCAGATCTCAATTGGGTTAAGACTGGACTTTGACTGGGCCATTCTAACACATGAATATGTTTTGCTTGAAACATTGTAGCCTGTCTTTATGTTTAGGGTGAATATCCTGCTGGAAGCTGAAGCTCCGCCCCGGTCTCATGTCTGTTGCAGACTCCATTGTCCTGTATTTGACTCCATCCATCTTCATATCAACTCTGACCGTCTTCCCTGAAGCAACCTCAGAGCATGATGCTGCCACCACCATGTTTGACAGTGGGGATGGTGTGTTCAGAGTGATAGGCAGCGTTAGTTCTCCTCCACACATAGCGTTTTGCACTTTGGCCAAAAAGTTGAATTTTCTTCTGGTCTGAACAAAGCTTATTCTTCCACATGTTTGTTGTGTCCAGCATGGCTCCTGGACCATGCTGGACACAACATGATCCAGGGGTTCTTATGGTTTGTACAGTGATGACTAATAGTTGTCCTGTGGACAGATTCCTCCTCTGAGCTGTGGATCTCTGCCTTTGGTCCAGAGTCACCATGGGCATCTTGGCTGCATCTCTGATCAGAGCTCTCCTTGTTTGGCTGGAAGTTTAGGTGGACGGCCTTGTCTTGTTACAGTTGTTTCACACTCTTTCTATTTCCAGATGATGGACTGAACAGAGCTCTGTGAGACGTTCAAAGCTTGGGAAATCTTTTTATAAATTTTTTATTTGTAAAAATTGTTTTGAGTCAAGTATAATTTTTTTTCTGTTTCACAATTCTACACCACTTTGTTTTGGTCTTTCACATGAAACTCAAAAGAAATATATTTAAAAAATTATGGAAAAATTCAAGGGGTATGAATACTTTTTCAACCCACTGTATGTAGAGATGTTCACAACGACTAACTTTTCGACCAGTTTACTTGCACTGGTTTTTGTAAAGCTTCGATGCTGTCTCTAAGTTTTGAGAGTGTAGATCATTACCATAAGCCTCAGGTTTCCGAAAGACATCTCTAAACATGGAGATCTCCATGTTCTCCAAATGCAGTGCGTTTCCTGACTGGCCAAAGCTGAGAGCTCAAAGAATGAATCAGATATTTTGTTCTACTCCATTCATTATGTGCGTTTCTGTTCTTTGCTGAAAAGGACTCCTTTTTAACAATGTTCTGTTTTGTAGAATCTTTGTTGCCAGATGAAAAGAGGAAAAAAGGCTCAGTTAAAGAACAAATGACACAAGCTCTGTTGAAAGGGATTAAGGACATTTTAATCACAGAGACAGACACTATTTCTCTGCTGGACATTCCCCCCACCTTAGTGTCAGTGAATGCTGATGATGCAGATGTCATAATGTAAGAGAAATTGTTTTTGATTTTTTAACCAATATTTAAATCTTTTTTTATTTCTGATTGGAACAAGCTATTGTTAACTCAACCTTGTTTTGTATTGCAGAGAGAGAAATAAACAGTATTCTGAAGTTTGCAGAAACAGAGGAAACAATGAGAAGTATGTGGATCGAGCCATGCAGACACTGAATGGAGCGACTAAGAACAAACAGATACAGAACAACCTCATGCTCATGGTGGACACAGGTTTGATTCAAGACAATACATTCACTATAAAAAAGTATAGCACACTGCAAAATATACCAAGCTCAAAGTAATTAAAATGTTTTTTCCCATTATATAAGTGAAAAAAATCTGACAATGGCACTGGTATGTTTTTTAATCAATATTCAAGAATTATTGACTTAAAACCTATGTATTGCTGAACAGGGTTTCCCCCAGTGTATTATCAGCCTGGCGGGCCACCAGGCTAAGTGTTGTTTATTTTAAATAGGGTTTTTTGTTGCCTGATGTAAAAACATTTTGCTTGATAATGTCAAACATTGATAAGTTTTAATTGTTGTTATTAAACGTTATCAAACACGCTGTTTTGAAGCTAAACAAACCTTAGAAACATACATGAGAATCAACTCATTTAGAGATAAAACTCCATTTGACACAAATACAAACATTCTTGGGATCTTGTTCACGAATGAGGGAAGAAGGGAGCAGGAGATCGACAGGCAGACTGGCGCAGCGTCTGCAGTTAAGCGGGCGCTGTGCGGGTCCGTCGTGGTGAAGAGAGAGCTGAGTCAAAAAGCGAAGCTCTCGATTTACCGGTCAGTCTTGTTCCTACCGTCATCTATGGTCATGAGCTTTAGGTCATGACTGAAAGAACAAGATCACGGATACAAGGTTTCCTCCGTAGGGTGGCTGGGCTCTCCCTTAGAGATAGGGTGAGTAGCTCGGTCATCCGGGAGGGACTCAGAGTAGAGCCGCTGCTCCTTCATGTTGAGAGGAGCCAGTTGAGGCTCGGGCATCTGGTCAGGATGCCTCCCTGGTGAGATGTTCCAGGCTCGTCCCACTGGGAGGAGGCCCCGGGGAAGACCCAGGACACGCTGGAGGGACTATGTCTCTCGGCTGGCCTGGGAACGCCTTGGGGTTCCCCCGGAGGAGCTGGAAGAAGTGGCTGGGGAAAGGGAAGTCTGGGCCTCCCTTCTGAAGCTCCTGCCCCTGTGACCCGACCCCGGATGAAGCGGAAGAAAATGGATGGATGGATGGACAAACATTCTAGCATCAATGTTTGGCTGGACCGTTCAAGGTTGCTATCAAGCTAATTTCCTATTTGCAGCTCCACAAATCTTTTCTATAAACATTACCAAGACATATGCAAACATAAGACCATTTAGAGTTTAAAATACCAGTAAGAGCACTTGAAATCAATTCTAATATGAACAGGCAGCCAGTTCAGAAACTTTAAAATCAGTTTAATGTGAGTTTGCTTTCTGGTCCTCATCAGCGTTCTGGCACCTGAGATCTTCAGATGTAGCTTTTTGTTAGCACAGCAATCTGTCTTGCATGTTATAAAAGACCGAAATGAATCTTCTGCATTGGACTAGGACTGAACAGAGTTTTGACCTGGGCTGAATGATTCATTCAGTGTTTGAAGTTGAACTGGGAGTTTGTCTGTTTGAATTTCTTTGACAAAAACTAAAAGTTTAGTTTTGTTCATATTTAACTGAAGGAAAATATGTGCCATGAATTAATACCTAAAATATGATTAAAAATTGCACTAATAGATCTGATGTCATCAGGAGATAACATAGAGCTGTGTGTTATCAGCTTAGCTATGAAAGTGACTAAATGAATGCCATATCTGCCAATGACCCTATATAAAGATTAAAGAGAGTGAAACCTAATATTGAGCCTTGTGGGACACCATAGTTTACATCATAACATTCTGATGAATAGTTTTCTTTATAGCAATCAATCAATCAAATTTTATTTGTATAGCACATTTCAGCAGCAAGGCATTTCAAGGTGCTTTACATAATTAAAAACAAAATAAAAACAGCATGTGACATTGAATAAACAGTAAGAAAGAGAAAAAGATTTTGGGAAAAAGAAAAGATTAAAAAAAAAAGAAAAACATACTTTTGTTACAGAATTTAAGCGCCTGTCGTCGCCGTTTAGCACGGGTATTATCCAGGCCCCGTCGCCTAAGAGGACAAGGTCTCCAACCTTGCAGCACCAGGCTCCGTCCACCTGTCACGCAAAGTTTTGAGCTAGGACTTCACTAGGACTTATAGACATTCATCTTTAGTTTTTAATCACAAACATAATCCTTCATACAGTAGAAGTGTTTTTAAAAGAATTTCATCCTTATCTGTAGCCACGATTGTGTCTGCCTTCGACATGTATGCACCTCCAGAGCAGGAAGTGATGGTTCACAGCCCTGAAATGAAACAGACCAATGATGCAGAGACTGTTGTGGACTCCAGGAGAAGTCCAGAGAGGAGTCTGTCCCTGTCCAGCTCAGCTAGTACAGGTAATCTGGTACAGGTAACAGAGTTAAAGTCACGTAAAAGAGATGTCCGGCTTCAGTTTGGTTGTTTTAAAACAAGTGTAACTCAAACATATTCCTTTCCAGTTATTTCCACCTGCTCGCTGAAAGATGTAGAAACAGTTGGGAGCAGTTTAAACACACAGGCAGACTTTGAGCTCATCATGACGTCAGATAAATTCCATTACTCCTTACTTTTAATGGAGAGGACCGTACTGCGGAACAACTTCCAAAGCCAGCTGGCTGCTTACAGAAAGCTGCCTTTGCTGCAAGGTAAGTTCAGCCTTTTTGTACAGCGGGTGGTCTCTCTCTCTCTCTCTCTCTCTCTCTCTCTCTCTCT